TGTGTTTCGAAAATTCGTTAATGTTTCTCAATCTCGATTAATAACACTTTATTACTTTATGGTCATTTACAAATTATATTTTCACGTATATTATGCAAATATGTTAATGAATTTATTTATGCAAATATATTTATTTGTATATAGCATATTTATCTATATGTATTGTTTTTATAAATATCAGGAACAAAACTGGCCAAAATTTTTGGGCATGCTGAATGTTATAATAAAAATAATAGGCCTATCTTTAACAATAAACAACAGGCAGAAACATAATTTGGTGTGAATAAAAATATATAATTTATTATATAGCCGATTATATCTACAAATGAAATATATGAAACACATAATAACGAGAAAATATTAAAAATTTTTGATAATAATTGAAATTTTGTCGGCCTTTCTCACTGGCTAATGCCCTATTAATTTCTACGTGGATTTGCTTCTGTATGCTGACTGGGTTTCGCAAGCTTCCGATACAATCTGGTCCTGTTAAATTCTTCGAATTGAGTCACGCGCGCGCAATTGTCTGCTGCTGCAAATCTTCACACAAGCAAGCAATCGATTTCTTGCAAGCATCGCACTGACTTAACGGCTAGCGGCTAGCTGCCAATGTAAAAATGCAAACAGAAATGAGAAAAGAGTTTACACGTTAGAATAACTTATTGTTGGCATATCTGTTCTTATATAAAAAGTATATTAACAGTCAAAACTTTCTCTTAAGCATGCGGCGCATGCTAAACAAGCCGAGATAATTCGCTTCTCCCATACGTATTTCTTGCATCAAACATGTGTTGTGCAATGTTGGACTACAGACACCATTTTGGCAGTTATTTCGTTAATATACATGTTTGTGATGTAAATATAACACAATATATGAATTCTGAACCCGCAGCAAAGCGCTCACTTTAATTAGTTTGACAATTTGTAATTTATTTTACAAAATTAATATCAACGTATTAATAGGAACAAGAAAATTTTAACGCAAAAATACAGAATTTTTTTGAAGCAAAACAAATTAAGGAAATTACAAAATTAAGTTAAATCTTTTGTATTATTGTACATTTTGTTTATAAGTTTTATATATACAGTATATATATTTTTGTGAAACAAATTAAAATACTTAAATGGTCATTTTTTAGAATATGAATTTCAAACATTATTTTTCTAACAAAACATGTCACAATGCAGTTAAGTTATATAGACTGTAAAAATATAGTATTATATTATATATAGATCAGACTAGATGTATGGTTTTATACGTAAGAATAACAAGGTACAGTACGTCTTAATACAGCTTTATGAGCAATACATTAATGTTTTCATTGTAAAAAAAATGTATTTTATCTTATATTTAATGTTGGCGCTGTTCATTATGAAACATGAAATTTAAGTTCATTCAATTTTTTCAATTTTTGCATATTAAAAGCGTAATAATAAACTTAGTTTTTATATTCGCAATAAAAATTGACGAACGGATAATTTTCAAACAATTAATTTACACTGACGTACTCTATAATTACAAGTTATTTTACATTAAAATTGGAATCGTCAATATACAAAATTGTAAAAATTACTTAATAAATTTAGTTAAAAAGCAATTTTCGTGTCTTATAAAATTAGTATTGTGTTCTAGAATAAAAAGTGTACAGGAACATTTTCATGAACACTTATAATGTTATAGAATCATTAAAGAAAACGTTTTGAAGATTTGCATTGTACAATTTACACGACAGTTACTTTCTGCTGTGGATCTACAACTTTTCTGTGAAATTAATCTTTTCAAGCATGCTTAATTTTAATTAACCAAACATATACATAAGTAAATTAGTAAAAGATGTAAACAAATTCATTTGTCTTTCTTACGTTTTAACATAACGAAGCTCTAAAAAGCATTTCGNGAGTCGATCGCAACATATTTTTAAGATAAAAAGTAGATGTTATGTACACAAAAGTTGGCCACCCCTGCTATATATGATATGTTTTGCATTGGAGAAACGCTTTTCAGCAAACTAATAGAGTAACACTATGGCATATTTTAAACTTATTTCTGAGTTATTATTATTTTACTCTTTCTGCTCTATTAGTAGGAAGAGTGTAAGCATCGTATGATAACACTCAGTAGGATTGTGCGAGTTTACGCGAATAAGAAAGCGTAAAATTTTTAGGTTTTTACGCTGCTGAAATAAAATATATATTAAAATTTTGCTTAATATATAATATAAGTTATATAATATAAAATATATGTTAAAAATTGCCCAAGATAACTCGGGCTGCGCGTAACGCAGAGTTATCTCGGATTATGTGCGGAAGGGTCTTCTTTATTACCGAAGAAACACGACTTATCATAAGTTATTTTAGTTGTGTTGTGCTTTATTATTGTGAAAACACACATTAAGCATAATTTTATTTAAACTAAGCTTTGTTTTTTAAATTTACATGTACGCATTTGTACCGGAACTATGCTCAAACAGTATTATAAACGTTCAAAAAATAAAAATGTATTTAAAAAAACTAACATTCACCAGCAATGACTTTGCTACTGATAAAATTTAGAAAACAATTGGTTTCTCTGCTTACGTAAAGATAAAAGTTGAATGGGTAATACGTAATTGCGTTGTGGATTTCATTAAATTATGGACAGTGCTTTTTCACTATCCGCTTTAAGCGAATATTTCTGAATGAATTTAAATAAGTGTTTTTTATTGTTGTATGTTCAGAGATTTTTTTGTATTTGTTTTTACATACTTAAGTTATTGTATTATAATATCATTCAAAAATTTAAATTAATTAGATAATGATCAGTTGTGGGATGTACTGTTAGATTCAAATGGGCCCTTTTGATGGAAATTTTTAATAAACTATGAAAAAATTTTCATGCTGCTAGATTTGTTAAAAATGACGAGTTTAGTGAAACAGATGGGGTTTGGCTTTTCGAGATCTTCCTGAACAACTTGATTTCAAAATTAAAATTGCTGTGTATTTGTGCGGGTTTAAACAGAACGTAGAAGGTCCAATGGGAAACGAGAAAGACATACAAAAAGATTATTATTCTCCAGGTAAAAAAACAATCATTACAGCCACCGTTTAACAAAGATAGAAGTTAGGCTTTCTGACCTTGCCTGCGATGATGAAATCAAAAAATGCTAAATTATGTTAAATGAAAAACTGTAATAAACGAATGCGCATCAAAAGTATTATTAAAAAAATTTAAAAAAAAATTCAGGATGCATCGGGTTAAACTGCATATTCTAAAGACAATTAAATAATTTTAAAAAGTTTACCTAACAATTGTTATTTTTTATCAACAACTGACCAATTCAGAACTTGGCATTTACTTCTCGTCATTCGCAAATCAAAGTTGAAAACGAGTTTATCATATTCTATTTTTCTATCATTCCAATTTTCAGTCAGAAGAATTGCTGCAAGATTTTCTTCCGTCTGAAACAAAACACACGAATTAATTTATTCAAAACATCAATTTTAAAGAAAGCTTCAAATACATTTATGTGTTTTGTCCATACTGCTTTAATACTCATTTAACTTCTCACCGATAACTTTTGACGTTTAGAACTACTAAAGAAGAGAAAGTACCTTTCTGGCTTCAAAAGAGATACAATAACTGCAAACCACTTTACAAAATTAGGTATAAAGATTTATAAATGACGAAAACGATATAATTTTATCAAATTTTATCTTTCCTGTTTCTTTATTTTACAAACAGAAATAATAAGTTACGTTAATCACTTTGTTTGTCGTTCACATTAAATTTCTCTCGAGATAAAATACTAAAACAGAATGTGAGTTATGGTTTGATTGCTGTCTGAGTTCTTTAAAATCTTTACTGAAATATGTATAATTGTGTAAAGATTTAAGATAAAAATAAGCATAAAACAGCTTGCAATTTTGAATATAATTTAAGAGCAAAAATCAAATCAGTTAAAACTGTTTTCAGGCTTCTGTGACAACTGAAAAAGTAAATTATAAACTCAACATATAGTCGTATTAACATGACGTTAAGATATATCATTAGTGATAAAAAAGTTTTATTTATAAATTATATAAATTTCAATGTATCTCAAAACATAACTTAACGTGATGAGTAAGTATATTCCACATTTTTCTGGGGACCAGCAAAATTTTCTCGCGGACCAGTACTTTAACTACCTTTGCTTTACAGCACATTATACGAAAAAAGCTTCGACCCCGACCGCTCCTAATGACCTACTACTGTGTTTCACGTTGCATTGTCAGAATTTGTGAAGATATTCTAAAGAATTGTAAGGAGAAGCAAAATGATTTCCTTAATACTTACTATATAAAAGCGCATAAAAAGCTTTAAGTTTTTTCAAAAAATATTGACTAATTATTCCAACAATAAGTTTCATAACCAGTGTTTAAAAAATTCTTTGTCCAAAGCATCCCTATTCACTATCTGAATACTGCATCCGTAAGATATTACTCAAGCCTTTAGCGTCAATCAATATATATTTTTATAAACCGTGAAAATATTTTTTGAAATTTTCAATTTTTTTTACATTTTTTATTACTGAATGACCCCAGTATTTTCTATTAAATTTGTTTGAATTCATTTTAATTATTTATTAAAATAAAACAGGAATTTTAGAATACGAAACTTCGCTCAATGTGGAATACAGTGCAGTCGAATTTCTGCTTTCATTAATAACACATCAGTCTCAAAAAGCTTCCTTCGAGCTTTCGTCTTGTTGTAGAAAAATAAACAAACAGTAAAAAAGATAATTTAACGAAATTAATTTTAGTTCGAAAGACACCCATAAAACTCTTGATATAGAAAAAAAAATTGAAATAAAGTTCATTGACAATCTGCCCAAACGGCTGACACCCTGTGAGGTCTTTCTTCATAAAACTGTGGATATTCACTTGACATATTATGTGAGAAATTATTGTATACTAATAAATATTAGAAGTCCAATAAATTTCCATGAAATAGTAAATTGATATTTGATTGAATAAATGCTGTTTATTAATTAAAATTTCACCGAAAGTTTTCAATAATTTAAACATTTATCTTAATTAAGCACAAGTAGTATAAATTATTTCGATAATTTGGTCAAAAGAAAATGTAGTTTGAAATTTTTCGGTGAATCTTCTTATTAGTACGTCTTTTCTTCATTTATTTATCAATTATTATTTGGTGGAAGGTTTATCTGAATGAAAGGACAGTTTGTCAGACTCAAACATTTCCAAATTTGTTCTCCTCAATCCTCCTTCTCTTAATAATAGCAGTGTGTTGGCGGCTTGCACTTCTTCGTTCTGTCTTTCTTGAGATTGCTGTAAGAAAAAATATTCTTGTGACAAAATTAAAATTTTTTATTAATTTTTAATTTTTTTTAAATTCTTATGCTTAAATACAAATATATTTCTCATATTCTATAGGTAAAATTTTTGTATATCTCAAATACTTTCTGGGCATTATTGAGTATAGAAATGCTTGATTAATGTTAATAAATTTCTAGCTTTAACTGGCGATTAAGTTCTAAAATTAATTTTGCAAGTTTTATAGATATTGGTGAGTATGTCACTGTTAAAACAATTTTTTTATATAATTTCCAAAATATAGTTTACAAATTTTATAAATATGAATTTTCCGTTTATTGTTGTAATAAAGCGTTTTATGAAAGTGCATGATGTTTATCAAGTGATTCAATTATTACTTGTAGCTAATATTCGGTGCAAACATCTAATACCGCATCATTAAGAACAGATTTATTGAGTTTCTCTCGTATATATTGTTGTTTGATAGACAGAATTATGTTTGTTTTTATAACTTCATAAACTACAGTGGATGATTTCGTTCCAAGATTTTGTTCGCTATCCGAATTGTTCGTTAACCGAGTATCGATTTACCATATTTTTTATGGGAATCTGATTAATTCGTTTTAGATTCCGAAAAATAAAAAATATATATATATATTTTTTACTACGTTTATTTATATGTAATAATAAAAATACATATATAAACAGTTTTGCATTTATATTAGGTTTTTATTGTTTCTGGGGGTTAAAGAATCTGTCTAATCTCGACTGCTTTTCTTTCTTTTTCAGGATTTTTTAGAAGTAATGAATGGCATTGTAAATTTTAATAGATCCCCAAGCCTATTAACCTCAACCTGGTATGGATGACATTCTAAGGCCGTTGTTCTGACAGCCTCCCACTTTTTCAAAAGGTCTTCAATAGCAGATATTGGCATTAATCCTTTTTTTCAGAAAATAAACATATCTCGCCGAGTTGTTTGGTGTTCTTCATTCAAGAGTTCTTGGCGTTTTTCCATCCTCAGATCCGTTTTAGGTTCCATTATGAGCTTTCAATGTTTTTTATATGTGAGATGTGATTTTTGTTACGCCTTTAACTGCTCGATTCTCTTTGATAATACTGTATTTTTTAATATAAGATTGAACTGCGGCCTACTGTAGACATGTTCAAGCTATACCGCCCAGCAACATCAGACATGTTCTGCCCAGTCACTACCTTTTGGTATTATACTCTCACCTTCCGAAGAACACTATCGCATCAGTATAAACCAGGTTGATCGTTAATGTCGACGCCTCCCGCGCTCCGAAAAGATTCGAATTGTTGCCTGAAGACAAGGGAAAACCAATTGGTAATCACTATTTTACGTCGTTTTTTTCTTGTGTTCGTTATTCGATTTGTTCTTTAATCGATTACTCACTGTATATGATTTTCGTGCGGTTAAAGTTTTGAATAAACTTCATATAAAACATTCGCTATTATGTCATTATCTCAGCTAAATAAAACATTTTATTTAAAATGGATCAACAAGTCATCAATTACACCTGTTAGGTTTTAGGAATTTTGTACGTCATTTACCAGTTAATTGTAAACTGTGTTAAATTTAATATATAATTTGTTCCATAAGCTCAATGTAGCGTAATAACGAACACTTGCTACGATTCACTTCTTTATTTCATTTTTCGTTGATAAGTCAAACTATACAATTCTATTTAATATAAACGTGAATTCTTAAAAATACAGTTTATTTTAAACAATTAATAGAATACTTACCGTTGAGGTGGAAGGACTTTTTTCCATGTGACAGTGCTTATGTTGCAACCATTTCTCTTTCGAGCGAGAGCTGAAGGAACATAAATGACATTGAAATACTATTACAGACGATTTAGGATTATCGTTTTTGTCGCGTGCTTGACATTGTTCACTGTCGTTGTTGTCATTATTTGTATATACTGGTGCAGACGGTGTTTCAATAGATGTCTCGAAAGGATTTTGTTGTTTAGATGCTTTTTCTTCAAATTTCTTGAAAAGTGAAAAATATTAATGAGGATTAATCCAGCGACATAATTTTATATTATTTTTACATCAAATTGGAAAAAATTTTATCATTAAAATTATAAAATTCTCCTAAGTAAAAATTATAAAGTTATTGTTCTTGTTATTTAATTAAACTATAAGGACTTATTTAAAAAATTAAGAAAATTAATTGTAGAACAACGAAATTAAGTAAGACTTTAATATAATTAATTAAATTAGTTCGAATGCTTGAAATAATTTGCTGACAATTTAGTGGAGAAAGTGAAATCATTATATATTCTATATACGACAATTCAAAAGAAATTTGCTTAGTTAATCTCATAAATACAGTAAAACATTAATTTAATGGAATAATTTAGGCGAAAAAACCTGGAAGTCTGTTATGTTATAATATATTATAAAAGTTTTTAAAAATTCTTCTTACAAAATTAAGAAATTAATTAGTATCTGTTAGGATCGTATTCAAAACATATAACGTGTTCTTTAATAGTTCTAAAANTCGATCATCTAATATCAAAAATTGACAGAGCTCGAAATATTATAGTAAACATCAAAATTCTTTGCTATAGTTTAGACAAAAAATTTTTCTATGTTTAAAATGAAGCAATCAAAAATTAATAAGCGGACCATCAAAAATTCGACAATTTACGACATGTTCTGGATTATGTAAATTGTTCTCTTCATAATATAAAAGCTTCACATAATAATACTTAAAAACTGCATCCGTGTCAATTCCTGAATTTTATAAAAATGCAATTAACAACAACATTACAATTTTCACACTTTGTATTATCATAATTTATTTTTATATTTTTTGTGGCGTTGATTTTTCGCGACAAAAACCGTCGTGACGCAATCAGACTTAGCGATTTCATTTATAATTACTTAAAATTTAGATCACCTGTCTTTTAGGTCTGTTTTGTTGCGCAGCAATGGGAAATAAATAGATAATAAATGCAGGTTATAATTAAAATTATTTTTAGAAGGTTAATTTAGATTATTAAATTATAAAAGAATGATAGCTACGCGACACGACTGTGGCGTAGCTATTATTCTTTTATTTATATGTAATTTAATAATATTTAGGGTCTAATTAGCTAACTTCTAGTTGTTTGAAGGAGTAAGCATCTTCACAGAATTGTCTGTGGAAAATTGATTGCAATAAGAACTACCCCTTCACGTAAATCAAGGTAAAAATGTAAACAAACCTTAGATAATCGTTATTTTTGTCGTTTTTCAGCTCTAATTTAGCTAATTTTCATATTCAAACGAATAAGTATTTTATTAAATTTTGAGAGAACGAGAGGCGACACTTAACGGAGAAAAAGAGAAACAAGGAGCAGACGACAGAATCGAATCAGTTGTCAGAAATCGGGGTAATACAACGTTGCTGGTATTAGCGATGGAGTAGATGAAATGAATCTCTTCAATGAAAGGAATAAACGGTTACTATTGTAATTTCGATATTCAATTCTACTCCTCCAGTTACAAAGAGAGCGGATGTAAATCGTTGAAACTTAAGATAATAAAACACTGTAATAAAGCACTTATCAGTTTGTTTACGTTAAAAACGAGTGTGATTCACACCCTTCTGCAAAGGTAATAATCATTTACTATTGTGACCTTGACTTCCACCCCCACTTCTCTCCAATTACAAAGGAAGCCGATGCCAGGCAGTGAAACATGAGAGGACTTAAACGGAAGTGAAACTAGATATGTTTTTTTTTCGCATTTTTGGATAAAATTACAGTAATATAAACATAAGAAACGTTAGAAGGGAGGAAAATTACACAAATAAACGATATAATCGTATTTTCAGATGGCAGTAATGCCAGATTTTTATTAAAACAACGCGATTATATTAAAAAAGCTGTGATTACGATTTTTAAGCATAGTGCACAACATAATCCCTCTTGAATCATTCCTATCACCCCCCAATAAATCATAAAACGGCGCAGTCCATTTTAAACCAATGGGAATACAGGTAGAAATGATTGACAGGTCGAATGACGTCACTTACGTGACGTGACGTCACGTCACGATGAGGAAAACCATTTTGCACTCAACAGTACGTCTTAATACAGCTTTATGAGCAATACATTAATGTTTTCATTGTAAAAAAAATGTATTTTATCTTATATTTAATGTTGGCGCTGTTCATTATGAAACATGAAATCTAAGTTCATTCAATTTTTTCAATTTTTGCATATTAAAAGCGTAATAATAAACTTAGTTTTTATATTCGCAATAAAAATTGACGAACGGATAATTTTCAAACAATTAATTTACACTGACGTACTCTATAATTACAAGTTATTTTACATTAAAATTGGAATCGTCAATATACAAAATTGTAAAAATTACTTAATAAATTTAGTTAAAAAGCAATTTTCGTGTCTTATAAAATTAGTATTGTGTTCTAGAATAAAAAGTGTACAGGAACATTTTCATGAACACTTATAATGTTATAGAATCATTAAAGAAAACGTTTTGAAGATTTGCATTGTACAATTTACACGACAGTTACTTTCTGCTGTGGATCTACAACTTTTCTGTGAAATTAATCTTTTCAAGCATGCTTAATTTTAATTAACCAAACATATACATAAGTAAATTAGTAAAAGATGTAAACAAATTCATTTGTCTTTCTTACGTTTTAACATAACGAAGCTCTAAAAAGCATTTCGTGGTCAGAGTTGGTTCGTTACTCGAGCCTAAACTATATTTGTTGAAAGTTTATTCATTTAAGATTCTTATACACTTACCTCGAAACAAGTTGAAGTTTTTTCTTTCGGATGAAACTTTTGATTGTGTCTGTTTAATTGAATTTTATATTTAAATTTCTCGTTGCATATATTACATGAATATGGTAGCTCTCCGGTGTGTACTCTCATGTGTCTTTTTAAAGTAGAGGGATATGGGAAAAGTTTTTTGCAAATGTCACAATAACGGCTTGTTATCTTCGGATCATTCGGCGGAATCTAATTATGAATTGATAAATAAGTCCACAATACATTAAAGCATAAAATATAACTAACTCATTAAGTAAGATGAAAATGATTTATGAATTTGATTTATGAAAATGAATGTTTGTACTTTGAATCGTTAATTTGTACGATTTATAATTTTAATATTTGAAGTAAAAATTTTTCTTCGTGTTTTAATAAAAAAAAGTATGTTTATGGAAATTGTTCTATAAAAACGCAACTAAGAAGTCTTTAATAACTATGTGTTAAGATTTTTTTTATTATTGATATTTGCAATTAAGCACAGTGGTGCAACAAGTATTAGAAGTTTATTTGAATTCAATCCTAATTGACCGTAAAAAGACAATAATATGTTTTGTTATGTTGTTTTTTTAAACCGTGTTTTGCAAATATTTTGGACTTTGAACTCAAATGTGAGTTATAAATAAACACTTGGCTTTATTTCCACCACTTTTTAGTTGAACTCATATTTGAGTTCGGAGTTCATGTTTTGTTATTTTAATATCTTACCTCAGGGGTCGCCAAAGTGATCGATATCGATCCCCAGGGGTCAATATATTATTATTGGGTCAGACCATTGAGGGGCGATTATCAAGCTCAAGCTAATAATAAGGAAAAGCTAAGGATCAAGCTTATCCAACTTACTGATTGTCACTTACAAAAATTATTATTAACAAATATACAATAAACGAAAAAAAATGCAAAATTAAAAGAAATGTATAAAAATAGTAAGTACTTTGTTTTGCTTGTAACACAAACATTTTGGTGGGGGTCGATGAGAGGTTTTAGAAACTTGTAGGGAGTTGACGATTAAAATAGTTTGACGACATTTGTCTTAACTACACATTTAGTAATAAAAAATCAGTTTTTGGTCATTTTACTTTGTGTAATAGAAATAAGAACACGTGAAAAATATATTTTTTATAAATAGGAGTATCAACTATAAAAATAATAATTTCAAATGAAGATTCTTCTAACAATTTCAACTTATCGTAATTAAAATTTTATATTACCCATAGCATTAGTTGTTATTTACACCAATGTATTTATTATAAGTATTGTCATAGTGTAATACACGACAATAATTTTAATGAAACAATGCAACAAACTTGATCAATGCACGATTTTTGAATAAAGTTCTAAACCGGAAATAAAACGTCGAGAACATTTTTTGGTTTTTTAAAAAATAAAAACATTAGTTAAAATTGTTTATCAATTTTATTATTGTACGCTTCGTTTCTGTATATTAATGCAGATTCATTAACTACTGTTTGTAAAATTAATTACATTTTTATAATGTATGCAATAAAAAATGTTGCATTCGTTAATTTTATAAATTTGATCGCCTTAACTATGTAAATATAAGACAAATAATATAGAAATTTTTCGTAATATTTACGTTACATAAAACTTTTTTCGAATGACAGAAAATCTCGTGTTGTTTCAAATGACCTTTCCGTTTAAAGCTTAATTCACAGCCTTCGTAATTGCACTTGAACGGTCTTTCATCCGAATGTACAAGCATATGCTTTGCCAAATTCCTCTTATCCGAAAAGGTTTTTTCGCACAAATCACATTTAAATGGCCTTTCGCCCGTGTGACTACGCATGTGAATTTTCAAATCTTGTTTACGAAGGTATTTCTTGTCGCATTCAGGGCATTGATGTTTTCTGTCCTTTTAAAATAATTCGTTGAATAAAACTAAATAATTAGTAAAAACTTAAACGAAACTTATTCAGGATAATATAAACTATTGTTATATAGTATAATATTACGTTAAAATGTATATAATATGTAGATGAAATGAAAATTTTCACTTACCATTATAATTTTACTTCTTTTAATTTCAAGTTGAAATTTTGGCAAAACAGAAAACAACAATGCACCGAAATAATGTAATAAATCAATTGTTTTGTTTTGACAATATTGTTAATGGCTATTTGCACGTGTTTCTGTAATTAACGGTCAAAGTTGTGTATATTGACTCCTGTATATCGCGGAAACCTGTCACTGACGGTTAATTTGATCGGTCCCATTAATTTTTTGCAAAAATTAATTAACGTAAATTAACCTGTTTATAGCGTAACCTGTCTAACGCGAACCGGTAAGAGAAATCGGGTTAAATAGTTAAAAATTTCTATCTGTATTCGATTTTAGACAAAATTAACAAGAAGTTTAAGAGCCTACCGTATATAAATATTTAAAAAATTCAAAAAATACAGCGATTGAATCTAAATATATAAAATTACTTGTCCTGGCTGATTAACTGAGTAATTGTCTGAGTAATTGACTGGTTCATCATAGCTCAGGGCGAACCGCTGAACCTAAAGTCGTGAAATTTTGTACACAGTTAGGGTACCGCGGGGGGAGAGGAGGGGGATTAATTCTTAACCTGAAGAACAGCTACTACTGTAATGTTTTAGATGCAACTTTTTGTTTTTAACTACATTTCATTAGGGTACCATGTTGAGATAAAAGAAGATGCTTATTTTTGAGAAAAAACATACAACTTTAATAATTCTTACTGCTTATCCAAATATGGCAATCATTGTGACATTTAAAAATATATAATTTTTCCATTTGTGACCTTTTTGCATTTGATTGAATTTCATTTTTCTACAGGAGTACTTCTGGAACACCTCACTTTGAGAATTTTTTTTTTGCATACACAATGAGATTGGGGAATACGCCGAATATCATTTTGTATGAGCGTTTTAGTCACATGGCACAAATAGGTTTCCGGTATACAGCTGTGAAAATTGTTTTCAAGTGATATTACTCGGAAATTTCGGTTGCTAACATCACTGCCAATATATTCCTCGAATCGCTTCTCGCCCTGTCCAAATCTGGTGCTCTTAGCTTCATTGCATTTCCTACTTTGAGTACAGCAAATTTCAGCTCTGATATTTTTTTCAATTTTGTGGCTTGAGCTTTTAATCTTGATATTCTTTACGCTTACTTTTCTCTTAATTTTTTCTCCTGTTCTTGGTTGTAGAAAAACTAATCATATCTGCACTAAGCTGTACTTAGATTGACGAATCAGAGATAGTCACATCGGGCTGTTCATTTCCAAAACTTTTCCTAAAATATATTTATTGGGTTTTTGTAATAAGCAATGATGTTCATTAAATGATTCAATTATTAAATGTAGCTAATTTTCGGTGCGAACATTTAATACTTTAATCATTCGTTTAATTAAGTTTCTGTTATTTATATTGTTGTTTGATAGGCATAACTATTGTTTCTTATAACTCTAAAATCTATCTCATTTTATGCTGTTATGGTTCTGAATAAACTTCATATAAAACATTCGCTAGTATTCCGTTTCTCATCTAAATAAAACACATGATTCAAAGTGGATAAAGAAGTCATCAATTTTCCTATTAGATTACCTGTTAGGAACTTCATACATCATTTAACAGTTAATTGTAAACTGTGTTGAATTTAATAAATACATCAAAATACATGTATTTAATTAAAACGTGAATTCTTTAAAATACATTTTATATTTAAACAACGATAGGAATAACTATCGTAGACGTGGAAATGATTTTTTCCATATGACACTGCTCATGTTTCAGTCATTTCACATTCGAGCAAGTGCTGAAGGAACATAAATGACATATAAATGCTATTACTGACATTTCAAGATTATCGTCTTTGTGTTTTGATTCACATTGTCTATCCTCTTTGCTGTCATTATGTGTATTTACCGGTGCAGACGATGTTTTTTTAGCAGATGTCTCCAAAGTGTTTTATCTTTGGACCGTTCTTAAAATTGTTCGAAAGGTGAAAAATATCAATGATGACGATTACTCCTGCAAAATAGTTTTGTATTATTTTTACATCAAATTAAACAAACTGTTATCNCAATATATTCCTCGAATCGCTTCTCGCCCTGTCCAAATCTGGTGCTCTTAGCTTCATTGCATTTCCTACTTTGAGTACAGCAAATTTCAGCTCTGATATTTTTTTCAATTTTGTGGCTTGAGCTTTTAATCTTGATATTCTTTACGCTTACTTTTCTCTTAATTTTTTCTCCTGTTCTTGGTTGTAGAAAAACTAATCATATCTGCACTAAGCTGTACTTAGATTGACGAATCAGAGATAGTCACATCGGGCTGTTCATTTCCAAAACTTTTCCTAAAATATATTTATTGGGTTTTTGTAATAAGCAATGATGTTCATTAAATGATTCAATTATTAAATGTAGCTAATTTTCGGTGCGAACATTTAATACTTTAATCATTCGTTTAATTAAGTTTCTGTTATTTATATTGTTGTTTGATAGGCATAACTATTGTTTCTTATAACTCTAAAAATTATGTAATTTTTATGCTGTTACGATTCTGAATAAACTTCATATAAAACTTTCGCAATTATGCCATTATCTCATCTAAATAAAACACATGATTCAAAGTGGATAAAGAAGTCATCAATTTTCCTATTAGATTACCTGTTAGGAACTTCATACATCATTTAACAGTTAATTGTAAACTGTGTTGAATTTAATAAATACATCAAAATACATGTATTTAATTAAAACGTGAATTCTTTAAAATACATTTTATATTTAAACAACGATAGGAATAACTATCGTAGACGTGGAAATGATTTTTTCCATATGACACTGCTCATGTTTCAGTCATTTCACATTCGAGCAAGTGCTGAAGGAACATAAATGACATATAAATGCTATTACTGACATTTCAAGATTATCGTCTTTGTGTTTTGATTCACATTGTCTATCCTCTTTGCTGTCATTATGTGTATTTACCGGTGCAGACGATGTTTTTTTAGCAGATGTCTCCAAAGTGTTTTATCTTTGGACCGTTCTTAAAATTGTTCGAAAGATGAAAAATATCAATGATGACGATTACTCCTGCAAAATAGTTTTGTATTATTTTTACATCAAATTAAACAAACTGTTATCTTTAAAATTATGTAATTCTCATAAGTAAATATTATAAAGTTATTCTTTTTATTTAAACTATAAAGACTTATTTTAAAAGAAATTAAGAAAAGTGATTGTAATACAACGAAATTAAGCAAGACTTTTATTTAGTTAATTAAATTACGTTCGAATACTCGAAATAATTTGCTGACAATTTAGTGAAGAGAGTTAAATCATTACATATTGTATGTACGACAATTCAAAATAAGTTTGCTTACTTGATCTCAGAAATACAGTAAAACGTTAATTTAATGGAATTATTTAGGAGAGGGACCTGGAAGTCTGTTATGTTATAATATATTATAAAAGTTTCCCAAAATCGTTTATTACAAAATTGAAAAATTAGTTAGTTGATTTGTTTTTATTTGTATTATACTTTTTGTGAGCAAAAACTAAGCATTAATAAAAAGTTTAATTTCATACAAATGTTTTATATATATGACCATTTTTGATAATGATTCTCACCACAAAGTTGACCCTTGTAAGTGACCTCTTGTCCACTCTCGCCACAGGAACACATGTTTGTTTTGTTAATTGGTCATACCGCAGACACCTTGTAATAGAGTAGTCACCTGGGGAGAGGGGAGTTCTTCCGCGGTGCCTCGGACGACTTCGTCCGTCAAGAAGGTCATCTCCAGTAACTACGCACTTCAATGTCCGGGGTCTATTCCTCGGGCAACGGGGTGAGAACGGGAGAAATAACGAAAATAATGATGAAAAAAACATACAACTTCGTTCCGAAGTTAATTAAAATTCTCATAAGATAGTCAGATTTTCACATATGTGTGACAATCCGAAGTTTAAATTAACAAACCCAATTTTAATCGACGATGACGCCATACGTGCTTAACGATTGTTGTCCTCAATTACCTGAAAAAATGTCCATTTACACATTCCCTACGACGATAATGACGCATTTTCGTGATCTGCTGACTTCTTGGTCGGGCATTAACAAACTGATATCGAAATTGATTGCAAAAAGAATCAGTCGTCGCCAGTGCCTCAAGTCAGTTCAGGACTTCCTATATCACCTTAACGGATACTTTACCTATTCTCTGTGCGAAGAGATCACCTACTCCCGGAACGGATCTTCCATATTTCCCGACGAGAATATCATTTATTCTACTGAAAGATATTGCTAAATCGCTTTCCCAACATATCACCTATTTTCGAACAGTTCTTATCATCGCGTTATCCTCCCCAACCTACCACCGAAAACGAATTTTCGCCGTAGGATGTTACAACAGAACACCATCCACTCTAGATATTTATCGTTACGCGAACCTTACGTAAACTGTCTCTCTCCCCAGAACCTCTACATTAGGCTTATCTATCTGTATTTATGTATTGTAAGATAATGATGTTACCGTCCTTTACAAATAAACGTTGTTACGTTAACGTGGTCTCTGCGTAAATCACTTCTGGTACGCTGTCTCTCTCACTCCATTCCGAATCGCATCGCTCAGTAACGCGACCGCTCGATCGCGTGATTTATTTCCGAACCTCCGCGGTTTCCGTTTCAACCGAGAAACGGTGGTGTCTATCCACACGAGGCATCGAAGAGGTGCCGACCCTCCGGTCACACATATGAGAAATTATTGTCTAATTATAATAATTATTTTAAGTCTAACAAATGTCGATAAATAACTGAATACTAGTGATGTAACGAATATTCGGTTACTATTCGGTATTCGGCCTATTCGGCCTATTTTTCACTATTCGGCCTAATACCGAATATTTAATCACTATTCGGCCGAATACCGAATACCTAAAAACAGGAGTAATAAATAACAAAAACACAGTAAATTAATCATTTTGGTATTTAGATTTAATGTTATCGAGTTAGTGTTGTTTGTTTATATTTATTTATAACTTGTAACATGCACAAAATAAAAAATAAAATAATATTAGTCACATGTATTCACAATTTATAATTACAAAGATCAGCACACGCACGTGTCTATCGTTGGAGAATCCTCGCACATCTGAGGATCTGACCCTGCCTATCCCTCTTTTTAAGCGCTCGTCTTTGCTCTTCCCTTTCTCTTTCCTCTATCGCTCTAATCCATGTATGCCTGTGCATACATCACACACAATACGCGCTCACGATACTTTCGATTCGTCACTTTTCCGTCGTAGACTTCCAATTTTACAATTACGTGACTCAGCCTGGTGATAACGGAGAAAAGAGACAGAAAAGACGTAGGTATAAGTCATAGTTATGATTTCACAGATTCGAGACAGCTTGATAGCCCGAACGGCCCCAGGCTTTCGTTCGTGCTCGCTAAGTGACTTTCATTTAGCTTTCCGAAGTCTATGACAACAATTGTTTGGCATTGACGGCCGCGAATTTCGCGCCAATAAGCTGCTTCGACTCGTTCGATTATGTTATCGACTCAATTTCATATTTATTTTCACATTTTCACTTCGCAGTCCTTCTGTGTTCTTTCTCCGTTATTTACACGTGTAGGACATTTCATTGTTATCCACATTTGATATCATCACTTATCACATACTGCCATGACGCTCATGTCTGTCCGCTTCAACTGTCAAGAATTAACG